ACACGAGGGAAGACTGAAGAGAAAGTGACTCTTCAAACACGTTTACTATGGGAACAGGAGTGTTCGGCACAGTGGGAGGCGGGGGAGGATCCTTTAAGGCAGCTTGAAAAGCTTGTCTGTCTGTGAAGACAGTGGTTCCCTGGAGGACGCGTCCCAATATAGCAACCACACAGTGGCAGATTCATAAGCTGGCAAACACGTAACCCCTCTTGTGACTGCACTTTTGCCACTGCTTTCACAGGACTATTAATACATGGCAGCGTGACCAACTCCCACGGCCTTTGTCTATGACCACCTGCCATATCACTTTCAGCATCAGATGCCACTCTCTATCAATATAAAAAGAGAAGGAAAAATAATATCACCAGAGACACCATATTTGAAAGGAGAAAAGGGTACTTGGGGTTTCACCTTGCACAGTGGAAAAAAACAATATGCGATGTGAGAGCTTCATGTAGAAATTGGTCACGACACGATGGTACTGAATATTGAATAACGCTGCAAGCACCAAGATAAATGAGAGAGTCAAGTGGTCCGGGGTTATCCGGGGTTATCAGGGGCTGATGCAAATGCCAGAGGTTACAGCCTCTCTCCCCATTTGTCACACGCTTCCCTCTGTCCTTCACTCCGAATAAGCAGCGACTTCATAGTAGGGTGTTATTTAGATTTCCCTTTCCACGTTGTAGCTCTGTTTTCGTTAACACAAACAACAAAAACGACAAAAAGAAAAAACTTCCACCTTTGACTCAAAATTTTAAATTGGAAGAATTCAAGCCTGCTTCAAAATAAATACGACCTCAAATTCATAAGACAGAGCCCTATTTTTTTTATATAGTTGAAAAAAATAGAATTAACATCAAAAAAGACATGTAAAACCTAGAAATAAGAATAGGAAGAAATTAATCACAAATTAATATTCAAAGAATCTTTACTGACGTGTTCCATTCTTATTAATGGGTCTTTGTTCTTCCTCTGTGTCTCCCACCAAACCTATCCCAGAATGGGCACCCAGTCAGCAGTCCGTCCAATGAATCATGCTGGTCCCTAAACTCAGAGAACTATTGAGCAGAAAAGACTGTCTTCTGGGAGTTTCTTCTATATAGTTGATGAAAGTTTCAGAGGTAGAACACTTTCCAATATTTACTAATCACCTACTAGGAGCCAGGCGGTGTTACACACCCAGGGATGCAGCGCAGGACAAAAGCACGTACTTGTGTTCATAAAGCTTACCTTCTAAAGAAGATAGATAATACACACACACACACACACACACACACGTGCACACACACAAATAAAAAATGTATATCAGGTGGTGACCAGTGTAGAACTACAAAGGTTAAGGGTCTGGCGAGTGGACGGGGGGATGCTATTTTAGGACCAGCAGGGTTCTCTGATAAGATTAGCATCTGAGCATTGAAGAGAGAGTCTAGGTACGAATAACAAGTTACTTAACCCTGAGCAGGGGGTGTGGTGGTTTGTACAAGGAAAGGAAAAGGTGCCCATGGGGCTGGAGCAGAGTGACAGGATTGAAGTCAGAGAGAGCTAGCAGGAGCCAGATCTGCAGGGCTTTGTAGACTACAAATAGGGACTTTGGACTTTTTATTTTGGAAAGTCACTGGAAGGCTTTAAGTAGAGGACTGACATGATCTGACAGAGATTTTGAAAGCATCCTTTTGGATATGGTGTTAAGAACAGTTTAGGGAGCCAAGGATCAAAGCAGGGAGCCCTGTTAGCCTTCTGAAACAGGCCAAGCAGGAGGTGACAGCAGCTGGGACTAGGTTAATAGGTGGGGAAGATTAAAGCTGAAGGGAAGGCAAGTAGAGTGAGAAAAATCAGAAGTCCTACTGGGCAAGTTAACTTTGAGATGCCCAATGAAGGGGTCCACCAATCAATAAGTGAAACAAAGGACAAACTGCCAGCGAGAGAGACATATACGGATAAGGCACAGTCTCTCAGAGCAAAGCTCATAGAGCAGTTCCAGGATGGGACGAGTTTCGTAAATGGGAGTGTTTGGAGATTGGTTGATTTTAGCCGTAGGAATGTGGTTTCTGGAACATATGTGTCTGTCGCTTATTGCCCAGTTTTCAGAAGCTCATGTACTGATGGTAAACTGCCATTTATTGATTTGGCCAGGTTAAAACTGGTTCTAGTGGTTACATGTGGCCAAGGAACAAGAAGTCCTTTCCTGAGAAGGTGGAAACATTTTAATTTCATGCTTCTTACACATCTGAGTGAATGAGTTTCGCAAGAAGCAGTAAATAGTGAAAAAGAGAGAACATGATTATTGAAATGATAATTTTCTGTGGAGCGAAACTAAAAACAAAATTTAAATATAGTTGGATAAATAAAGAATCAGGTAATCAGCGAGGCGGAGGAGAAAAGAATACCATTGCTGCGGGACCCAGGGCTTGTCCCTAACCTCTCAGCTACTTCATCTATCAAAAGAGGCTGGGCTAGATTTTTATTTCAGGGTCCATTCCACCTCTATAATTGGATACTGTTTTCTGTGTATATATACACACATGTGTGTGTGTGTGTGTGTGTGTGTTTGTGTGTGTACACATTTTAAGTTTGGAATAAACTCTAAATAACATTTCAGGAGAAATAAAAATGTAAGAGCTAGATATTTGCTCCAGATTAAGTTATGGGAAGAAGAATCATCATTCTTACTTGAGGATTACATGAGATCCCAAGTTCCTGATGTTTATTTTCTTCCTTTATACATTTAAGGTTATAAAACTTCAGGCAAAAGCGGAACAAAATGACAAGATTATAAAGGATTCTTAGCCAATGATCTAGTTCTTTTAAAAACTCGACTCTAAATAAAAGCAGAATACAATTTTGTATGTGTATAATAATCTCTCATAGAAGTTGAGGAGGAAAAAAGCATAGAATTAAAAAAAAGATTAGAAGAAAATATAACAAGAGATCATGTATTTCTTTCTAAGAGTGATATAAAGGATAAATTTTCATTTTTTATATTTTTCTGTATTTTTCAGACTCTTTACAGTGATAAAACAATTTAATGCAAAGAAATTCTACTTTATGAAGAAGATCAGCCTCCATGATCTCCAATAAAACCAGCGTCAATGGCTTCAGTTGGGGATAAAAGATCCTGGGGATAAAAGATTCAAGTCCTGCTTTCAACTCAGTGTGTAGTGGGGAGGGACACAGGCCCAGAGCCATGGGAGGAAGTGGAGAGGCAGGGCCAGTTGAGGGGTCAGAACACTCAGGAAGGGAAAGAAGAGGGGCAGTAGGCTTTAGGCAAGGATGAGCATAGGCCAGACGAAAGAGATTAACTTTACAAGAACAATGAGTGGTCGCTCTGACCTTGGTGAGCCCAAAGGATGCAGTGGGAAGAATCAAGAGATAAGGCCAAGAAGGAACAAGATCTCAAAGAATTCAATGAACTAGTTAAGAAACTAGAATTTTACCCTGGCCATTACAAGTTTTTTTTTTAAGTACCTGAAAACCCAAATCTGAAACTTTGGGAACCTCTCCAGGGAGGTTTGAACTATCTGACAGACTTTATCAAGGTGACAGGCTTCTCTTTTCCTAGGCAAGGAGGGAGCCTTCAAAGTCCCCTTTTGGCCTTTCTACTACCTGATGAGATAAAATCACAGAAAAAGCATCTCTTCATCAACTTCATATATTTTAAGAAGTTAATCAAGACAATGAAGATATTGCCTCTGCATCCTAACTTCTGGTCCTTTCCTCTCACCTTCCTAGGAATGGACGAACAGAGAGGGAGCTCAGAGAAACAGACACACAGAAGAGATATCTGAGTAGAGGTCAATTTTATAAGTGGTCAGTTAACTGGGAAATATGTCAATTTTGTGACAACTTTTACTTCTCTACAGAACCTCATAACAACCTCTTCTTGGATACCAAGCACCCTTTGTACTTTCTTTCTACTTTCCTCCAGATGAGAAAAAAAGAGGTAGATTTACTTTCTAACAGCAGACTCTACCATAGACAAATGACGTTATAACAGAAAGAAAAATTGGAAGATCAAAATTGGCTTCCGAAACCTTGACGGAACATCAAGATTCATTACCATGTGTAACCAGGGGTAACCTCAGATCCAGAGGCAATGCTTTCACTTGCCCTTTGAGATCTACCATGGAGTGTTTGCAGTGTTACTTTATCTGACTCCAGATTAACAAGTCCTGTTTCGTTTCAGATGCCACCTGGCAATCTCATGTCTGAGAACAAGGGGTAATCACAGGTCAAACTTAGAGAAAGAACCCAGAAAGGAGGCCTCCAGCTATGTGGTTTAGGGGAAGATTACAGCTGGGCAGAGTAAAACAGAAGAGAAACGAGAACAACACCCATTGGGCATAAATCCAGAGAGGAGTGGAAAGGGCTCCCACTTCACAGATTAGACTAAATTCCCAATCAGCCATATTCTTGAGTTAAAATTGAATGGCGTAACATTCTGAACATTCCAATCTTGTCTACGAACAGAATTGGATCATAGACCAAAGTCCACACCCTCCAATCTCGTCCAGCCTTTGGTGGTCTTAATATATTTTCTATTTAGCACATTTTCCCTTATACTGAGAAAGTGGGTAACTGTTTAGCTGACCATAGCAGACTCTGAGTCCCTAGAAAGAAAAGGACCACACGTCCTATTCATCTTTGTATATTCGCCCACTCTTCCTTCTCTGCCATTTGCACTCTCTCTCTTCTTTGCACATAGTAGATGCTCAACAATCTTTTTAATGAATTGAATCCAAGCCTTCCAGTCAACACTAACTCTGATGCTCACAAATAAAGGGGATAGGAAGATATACCAGAAAAGGCCATGAGATGTAATTCTTCTCTAATTCTAAAGTTTAAGGAAAAAGAAAATGTAATTCTGGCCAACTTAGCAAGGTTATATGGGGTGAGAAACAATGGAAGACCATTAGACTTAAGTCATCTTTTTCTCAGCCCTGCTTTTAGAATAGAACTGAACATACCAATCTGTCAGCAGCCAAAGGATGACATAAAAAGATGCTCTTGATGTTCGACATTCCTAAATTCCTTCTGGTACTATGAAAGCAAAGAGATCTATAATCATCTCTTACTGGACTGAAGATTTCCAGGGACTGCTCATATTGCAAGCCAGTAATGCCATCCAATATAAGATGCCTCATTAATCACTAAGAAGTTGAAAAGGTCCTGACAAGAGATCCCTTTGGGAATTATTAAGATCTTTTTCAACTGTTGGATGCCAACCCTTGCCCAGTTATTTTCCCTGACAATATCTGCATCTAGTGCCTTCAGTGTAGGAACATAGTGAGGTCTCTACATTTTTAATATAGAAACTCTGCTTCCTTTCCCAAAGTACCGACCTGACGAATAGCCTTCTGAACATCCCTTGAAGAGTCCACAATAGTTATCTTCAAAACAAATTAAATAACTTCATTTTCTAATACCAACTCAGACATAATTATTCAGCTATGGACTATTGCTTCACTCTGTTCAAGCTTGAGAAGAAACAGCCCAGAACAACCTTGGGTCCTTTGCGATGTTCATTAATCTTTCAATAATCTTTGCTTATACTGTCAAGAACTGAGCACTGACCCAATTACATAACTTTGGTAAAGATCCTAGACTTCTTGTATCATCTGAGCCAGTTTAATAATCCTCTGCTTAAACTAAACTCAAAAGTATGACAATTGTGATTCCAATCCTGGGTTGCTTTAAACTAAACCAATATATATAGTAGTCACCGCCTAGTACTTAAATACGTAACACTAAATAACTCTGTCTTAATGATCAAATCATTAAGTCACCACTTAGGCATGTATTTAGTAGCTGATTCATCATGGAGGACCCATTGAGATGATGTTCTACTTAAAGTCATTGATTGCACTGGACTGTCAGAGTTTTATTTTGGTCAAAGCATTAAATTATCATTGTTTCTCTTATTTTCCACAATAGGAGTAATTTTTTTCTCATCTAACTGGGAGAAAATTCAGATATTTCAATCAAGTCTCAAAGTAGTGGGGAAAATTCGAAGTTTTCATAGGCATTTTTTTTAGCAAGTGCTTGTGGAGAGAGAGTCTGGGCCTCCTGGGAAGAGTAGAAGGCCAGGTCCAATTATGACAGAAAACTGGAAGCCTCCTTCATACCTGGCAGCAGGAAAGCCAGGATTGAATTTTCTAACCCTTCTGGTTTGCTTAAAATGAGAGCTGGCAGCAGTCAATGGCTCACTAAAAACCCCTCATATTTGCAAACGAGAATCTAGAAGACTTGCTAACTAATCCTTCTCTACAGTCCCACATTGCATCTGTGTCAAGACAAAGGCAAGCAAAAGAAAGAAATTTGCTTTGACCCTGAGATGTAACATCATCATCAGGTTGTGGCTGAATGGTATACGCTCATCCTTTCCCTGAGGTCCAGGCTGGGGCAGCCCACTTAATTCGTTCCTATGTAGACTATAGAAATGTACTGTGAAGATGTTGGCAAGTTTTACCAGATGTCTCTTACATAAGGACCCAGGAAATAAACTCCTCTTGAGAATCCAAACTCAAAATAAGAAAAACAGTGTAACTTGGGTGTTTTCTCATTTTACCTTATTTATCATAAAATTCAGCTAAATTCACTACCTAACCAGGATGATTTTAACAAGATTATCTGCAATGCCTATTCATTCACATCCTTCTAAATGACCTTTGCTCTGTATTATCCATTAAGTATGTTGTATTCAATCTTGTAAACTGCTTCAAAACATATGCAAGAGATATATAAAATATGCCATTCTTGGGTTAATGTCTGTCTTTCCTGTGATAATCTTACCTGCATATGAGTCTATTTTTCACCAAGGCTGTAAAGATCTCCTGAAATAGTTTATGCTGGGGATGCTTGCTGAAATTCCTCTCATTCTTGTAGTTTATACTGAGATGAAAAAAAAAGGAAAGTATTTTATAATAAAAATTATTTAGGCTGCCTCCAAGTTACCAGTGCACAGAGAAAGATCACCTGTATTCATGCAAATATTGAAGGATTCTTGGGTTTAAATATATTGCTAAAGGCAACTATCGATTGTTAAAATAAAGAATAGAAATTCAGTTATAAAGTGAATATTAAAAACTATTGTCAAGCATATATATTTCATTTTACCGTATTAACTAAATTATTCCTTATAAACACTTCATAGCTAAAATTGGCCAGAGGGAAGATAAGGGTTTGCAGAGAGAAAGAACGATTGAGTCACATTGTCTAGAGAGCTATGCAGTAGGCAGAGAATTCTCTCTTTTCACTTTTTTGCCCACCACAACCTCACTGGCTGCAATAGCTTTTAACACCAGTGGTCGTCATGCATATTTCCTTGTAGAGATTTATTAAACACAGTCTACATGCCTTCAACCCTGAGAATTTTTATGGTGCTAACTCTGTGTGTGTGTGTGTGTGTGTGTGTGTGTGTGTGTGTGTAACAAAG